ATTATAATGTGTATATGTGAACAGCCACCTGTTAAACAGAAACAGTGGTAATGATTGTGAATCAGAACAACCAACGAGGAGACTGAACGTCGGTCCGCTCCGCTCCGGTTCTGTGGCTCATTCGGGTCCCTCTGCTGCTAAACTAGCACTGTTTAAACTCCCCCTGTCCTTCCAGCTAATAGCAGCGCTAACTAGCTAACAGCAGCTAGTACAGTTAGCATATGCAGCAGTAAGAGACTTCCTGTGTTACAAGAGAAAAGGTCCGTGTTGCAACAATCCTCTGATACTTTGGTCCCGGGGACGAGGAGCAGCTCCTGAACGCGGTCTGACGTTGGTTTGGTTCAGACTGTCAAACTGAAAGTGTCACTGAGACTCTGAACTGATGGTTCAGTTGGGGGGCAGCGATAGATCATCAATACCTTTATCTGTAATTATTGATATGATACTCGTCTCCAATCGATTGTCTAAAATACAAATACTGTATGTAAGATTTATCTAGTATTTACCAAATAGTTCTCATAATTACTGAAGTGTTTTCCATGTAATTAAGAGATATGAATCTTATAATTTTTATTATATTTGTATTTAAAAAAGAAGAATGATGCATACATAAGAATCAGAATTCATAATTTGAAGGAAACATGTTTCATTGGTTGAAGTTTCCGATCCAGCAGACAGGACGAGTTTTAATGAATCTATGTAAATGATAGTCAATATTTGGGACCACAGCAGCTTTGGGATCAGTTTTATTGTGAAGGTTGAAACAAGACTGCGTGCAGCACAGAGCTCAGATCAGCTCACCTGTTCACAGGCTCTAAATACTACATTACCCATGAGCCTGAGCTGCTCAATTGATTGAAGAGTGAAATCGTTAAAAGAGCCTGTAGCTCTCTTATTGGACAGCTATCGCAGCAGTGCTTTCTGGGACTTGTAGTATTTTCAGATTAGCCGATTGAATCTGGGAAAAATCAATATATCAATATTAAGTTGTTGTTTATGTATTTTTTATGTTTTTTGTTTCCTGATTTAGAAACGACGACTGAAACCACGGAGATGAAACTTGACTGTCCTTTTTTTAAATTGAATTTCTGCCTCAAAAACACAAACAAACATTTCAATCTTTAAATTATTTATTTATTTTATTTTTACAAATTGTCCTTTTTTCATTTCAGTTTGAACTTTGGTACGAGCTCCTCGACAGCTTATATCAGCTTCAATCAGATCATCTATTCCAACAGATAATCAAGTTCATTGATCGTAAAACTTTAAGGGCTAAAACACAGAAACTGATCTTTAATGAGGTTTATTAATCTGAAACCAATCACTGCTGAATGAAGGTTGTTATTGGACAATAACACAGATATCAATGCAGTGTGACAGAATAAAATTCTACCATAAAGTGGAAATATTCACAAATTAAAGTTGTAATGTTTTAATAAAAACCTCCTAATTTGGAGGAAAAAAGTCAGATTTTAAGATAAATGAATGAGAAAGTTGACTTTTGATAATTGATAATTATTAATTGACAGATATAATACTGTTAGTTTTATATTTATAATTTGACTCTTTTCACAATATATTTTATTATCAACCTTTTATTGACTTTATTGAGCAGATCTTTAATCAAACCACCTTAAAGAGACTTATTTTGAAAATGTTTTCACCCCTCCCCCAACACACACACAGACACACACATAATTTGTGTATTGAAACACTAATTTTAATGATTCTTTCAAAATAAAATTAGCCCTTTACCTGAGTGTCTGCAGTGTGCTTTATTGTGAAAATCCTGTGTTTTAGTTTGAAGTGATCAAACATTTTCAACATGAGAACTGTGATTGATCACAACTGTACTTGTACTAACTGTACACAACTAATGTTATAAAGAGTTCGGCGTCTAGACCTGCCTCCTATTTGAAAAGTGCTCGCTGAGATAAATTCCTGTTATGAATTTTTGGCGCCTATACAAATAAAATTTGCAATTTGAAATTGAATTGTACTTAACAATTTTAGATTCCACATATTGAACCTATTTATATCTTGTTTTTATTTATTCTGAATGACTCATCAATTTAACTGATTGATTAGTGTGTTCCTGCTGCTGACAGTCACTGTGCTGCAGAGGCTACTGCCCTCTGCTGGACTCTAACACTACTTTTACTTATAGATCATGATCAATCCTTTATCAATAAGATATCAATATTTATTATTATTTTAATATTTAAATATGTTTTGAAATTTATATTTCTCCAATAAACCTGCAGGTTTATTTGATCAGGATAATTGATCTAATTTATAACCCTGCGTCAGGTTTTATTTATGTTCATATATGTGTGTGTGTACGATCCTTTATTGATCGCTGCAGCAGCACAAAGAAATCAGTTCAGATAAAAAAAGGAAAATAAAACTAAAAATAGAAACTATAGAGACTCAGTGAGGAGACATGTAGTAGTTTATACATAAACAGCATTCACCACAATAATATTAACAATGTGATTAAATAATAATACTCAGTGTTTGTATTAATATATGTAGCAATGTAATAGAAATATATAATGTAGGAAGAACTCTAATGCCCTCAGATTATATTACAGACAGACTGATAAATATCTCTTCCTTTCTTAACAAGGCTTTTCAATTCTATCAGTTTTATTTGTATAACAGAAGTTATCTCATACGGAAGCGCATTGCATTCACTGGATGAAAAAAAAATTAAACACCTTAACTCATAATTACGAGAAAAGATCTCGTAATTACGAGATGAGGAAAGGTGCCACATTGGCCACTGCTTCACTCAGAA